CCCTAGTTTGTTGGAGGCCATCGAAATTAGGTTGGAGGCCATTGCTACTAGGTTTGGGGCCATCGCTATTAGGTGGGAGGCCATCGCTATTAGGTTGGAGGCCATTGGTGCCATCGCTAAGCGATGGGAGGCCATCATTATTAGGTTGGAGGCCATCGCTATTAGGTGGGAGGCACTTGCTATTGGGTTGGAGGCCATTGCTATTACTTGGAGTACTTGGATATCTTGGATCTTTAAGCCGCGAAGCCGTGACTTTGATCATTGATCCTGATGCATCAGACGCTTCAAATGCTTCATGCCCGGCTTTGCTTGACAGCCTGCTTCTACCTGGTGTGCCGCATCAAGTCAAGCAAGGTGGAAATCACCGGTCTTCTGACTTGATTACTTTATATAGCCTGCTCAAAGCCATGCATTCGACTGACCAATCTCAAAAGACATTCTTCAGGGCATCATTGACTGGATCCCTGAGTCTGCCACCATCAGGGTCAGAGCTGAAAGTGTCACCAAAGGGCATCTCATCCGCCTGGTAGTGAAAGCCAATTAGAAACTGAACCTTGTCCAATCATGGGGTTTGTTTCACACAACTGGTCAAAAGACACAAACGTATTCTCGAAGGTTCAAGAGATGATCTCATGGGTTCTGGAGGGGTACTTTAAAACATAGTAAAAAACAACTCCACAACAACTTACTGTATATAGCTTGTATCATGTCCTGATCCGAGACGCTCTTGATTTGAGGATAGATGCGATCTTCACGGTTGGCGACGTTGGGGATGCATCAACGGTTCGCTCATCCCTTACTTGGAACACCCTTCCTGAGCTCACCGCGTCACAAAGTAAATCAGCATCTCTCTCTCTCTCTATACACACTACTTTTTTTAGGGAAACGTGCCTAGAAAATCCTAGAAATGACTTTCTGAACTGAACTCATGATACACCTACAATATTTTTGGATGCTTGGACTGGGCATTCTTGTCCATTTTGCAGTAATGCACGCGAACATTCCACACAAAAATCAAGCTGAAATTGTAGCACCTTGTGCACCTTCAAATTCTGTTTGGTCTGGAGTGATGAGTTGCTGGCTGGAACTAAGAAGCAAGCTCCAACTGGATTGACGTGTCCTGAACTACTTCCTGCTTAATGCTTGTCCTTATCCCTCAAGCGCGCAGCTTCCTGCTTCTACACCCAAGTACGGGCTCATCTCACCTATCGAACTTTTGCCGGAATTTGTTGAAATGCTCAACATATGGGAGCTCTGGGTGTGATCACTTCGACGTGCATTTGCCTATTGAAACTGATTTCCCAAGGCATGGGACCATTGGGGACACTTCCTGAGAAATCAGACACCCTGTGTGAAGTTTCAACTTCAACGGTGCCTGGGTCTATCTTTCTCAAAACACGGTCGGCAGCGGCAGTGCAACTAAAACAAACAGATGCCGTGACAACTCCATTTCGGAACTCCCTCGCGTATCTACGTGTTTTAATTGCCAGAATTCGGCGCACCTAGCTTTGTGACCAGTTGGGTGGTGTTCTGATGAAGCGCAAGTGAATGAACCGTTCACCGAGTCACTTCAACAATGCGCACGACCAAAACAAGGACATCCGTTGGCAAAAAAATTAGGGATCGTTCCGTGCAAGGCTTTAGCTGCACCAGAGATTTTTTAACTTACATCTTCACATATCCAGATTTGCACATCTTCACATCTCATTCTCTCTCTCTCTCTCATTCTCTCTTGTCTCTCTATCATTACCTTTTTTCTCCCCCTCCTCCCCTTTCGTTTGTATTTTTATTCTTTCTTAAGCCGGGGGTAATGCCGACGAGGCACCATGAAACGCGACCCTTTCGCATGAAGTGCGTGTCATGTGTTAAAGCCGGGTGAAACAAACGATTTCCAATCGTCCGCGGCAACCCTTTCGCTCGAAGTGCATGTCGAGTCAAATTGTCGGCGGCAGCCCTTTCGCACGAAATGCGTGTCAAGTGTCAAAAGCTGACGAAAATTGCAACTTCGGTGAGTCAGTGGCAAGCCTTTCGCGCGAAACTACGTGAAGGTGGATGTTGCCAAAGTGTGTATAGCTGTTGTCGAAATGGGAACTTTATAGTACGCATGTAGTACAGGCAGTGGCTTCTGGGCTGTAGCCTCAGAAATAGCAATTTTGTAGTGAATAGTAGTGCTGGCCTCAGAAGTGACAATTTTGTAGTGGAAGCAGCTTTTGGGAGCCGTGGCCTCGGAACTGGTAACTTTGTAGTGCATGTGTAGTGCA